CAATTCGAATGAGAATTTCTTTCAAATGCAAATGTACGAACGGACTTTCAAAGTGATCTAATCGTGTTAGATCAAAGTAAGTTACTTGTTAATAAATTTTCTTGAATGTTTTTTTTCTTTTTCTTTTTTTTTTCTTTCCGTTTTTCTTTCTTTTGTTTTTTTTTTTTTCGTTTTTTTTTCTTTTTTTTTTCTTCGATAACCTGGACCAATGCAATAGAGAATAAGATCCTCTTTTTATTTCCCGGAATGAGTAAGTCTTTCTGCGTAGAAATGTTGTTGATTCATAAAAGAGTTTATCTCTGCACGAATATTTATTATCTTTTTTATTTGTTTTTTTTTTTTCTCCTTTTTTTTTTTTTTTTTTTTCTCTCTTTTATATATTTCTATACAAACGAGTCGGCGATTTTATAAGTGGTCTTATTAATAATATATCTATAGTTTTATTTGTAGATATTACGATCCTTTCTTTTTTTACTTCTTCTTTTTTTTCTTCTTTTTTTCCGTTTTTTTTTCTGTTTTTTTTTTCTTTTTTTTTTTTTTTTTTTTTTTTCTTTTTAATAACGTATCTCTTTGTAAGAGACAATAAATAACGAAATCAAATTTTTTGTTTTTTTTTCTTTTTTTTTTTCAACTCAATATTTAACTTTCGACTCAAATCATTTTCATAATTATATACGAATGATATTTAAATGAGGAGAGTTATAATTTATCGACAGGTCTCGCTTTGCCTCGGACGTCGTTTCGAATTTAAAAGGCGGGAAATACGGATTCCACGTATTACGTTGTCCACGATTTACATCCGAGTGTAATTAAGGGCAATCGGTTTTTTTTTCCTTGTTCTTTTTTTTTTTTTTATTTTTTTTTTTTCCTTGCCTTTTTCTTTTCCTTATATTTCAAGTGCCTTTCTACGAATCTAAGAAATATGTTTAACAAATACTGACATTGAAAATAAATGGTAGATTTTATCACAATAAAAATAATATCTCGTGACAAATGAAATAATTAATTAAAAAGACAAGAAAAAGATATTATTCCTTCCTAAAAACGTATAATAATTTCTTGAAACATATTGAATTGAAAACTGACCATATAAAATTTCAATTCGATCAGATAATTATTATTATATCAAAGAGATGTGTAATTTCTAAATTAAAAAAAAAAAAAAAATCAGGATTTGATAGATAGATCCTCAAACAATACAGATATATATATATATATATATATATATATATATATATGTATATATATACTATATATATATATATGTACACAGGATGGCTCTGAAAGTTGACTCTTAAATATCCCCCTTCATTAATTTCATTGAATTCATTAATAATACTATCCCGAAATTTCTTCATTAATTTAATTAATAACATTTCTTAAATCTTGAACATTTAGTTAATCAAATATTACAATTAACTTTTTTTTCACTAATATTTTCATTTTTTATCATCGAAGAATTACGAGATGTTTTTAGAAAGATACGATTCGATCTTTATGATCGAAAGAGAAGAGAAAGAAAAAAAAAAGAAAAAGAAAAAAAAAGCAAAAAGAAAATAAAGAAAAAAATTGTCAAAAAGTTTGGAAAATATTGCACGTTGTTTTTTTTTTTTTTTCTTTTAAAACAATACATCAAAACATTCGAATCAATGTGTTGTATGTCTCTATAAATAGATGATAATTATTGTGAAGAAAAAAAACAAAAATAAAAACAAAAACAAAAAAAAAAGAGAAAAAAGAAAAAGAAATGAAAATTATGCTCTAGTCAATTTAAAATACATTCCTGTATCTTCTACTAGTAAAACGACGATTCTTCTTATAAGAGTGTCGGTATTTCTTCGATCTGCCGTGAGTCACGATCCATCGAGGCTTTCGCACGTTTTTGCTACGACCGCGACGCGATACGGAGCTCGTCGATTAACGATCATTTCCGCTTGATTCCCGACTAGATATCTTTCGTCTTTTTCTGTCATCTAACTTGATCATCTTCTTCGTCGTATCGATCAGCTATTTTTTTTTATGAATTTCGACTTTTGTCTTTTTTATATATATATATATATATATATATATATATATATATATATATAAATATATATTTTTTTTTTCTTCTCTTTCTTCATTTTTCGTTCTCTCGTAGTTTACATAAGCTTCATTTATATTATTGAAAGTGTAAATATTGAATTTCTCGTTTATTCTGCTTTATGATACGTTATAATATAATTAATCAATTTAAATACCCGGCCGATTATTAATCGTTATAAAAAAAAAATCTAATTTTTTATCGGGTCAAGTCAATTTCTTTTCTTATGATTTCAAAATCGAAATTATATATATATACATATATATATGTGTGTGTGTGTGTGTTTGCGTAGGTTCGTAAATCTGCGATTAAATTAAACCAATTAATTGCGATTAATGATAAAATTAATTCTAATGAGAAAAGATAGAAAAAGAAAAAAGAAAAAAGAAAAGAAATATTATTTATTCTGAGAAAATTTATAAAATTTATATTTTGTTCAAGATATCAAAAACAAGATACATCACTACCGAAAGTCCAATAAAGGAAAAAGATATAAATTCAATTAGATGCGATTCATTATATCTATAATGCGAGTAATATAATAATATATATAATAAAACAAAAAAAAAACAAAAAAACAAAAACAAAAACGAAAAAACCAAACGAAAAAGCAAATGAAAAAAAGAAAATTTAATTTCTCTCTGTAATACGATTAACATGAAATTTTTACAAGATCTCAAAACTCGATATATATATATATATATATATATATATATATATATATATATATATACATATAAAATCCAATAATATAAATAAATCCAATTAGTTACGTTTAATTTTATCTGCAGTGCGAATAATTAATTACAATGACAAAATATATATATATATATATATATATATATATATATATAGGTAAAAAACAAAACGAAGGAAGAAAAAAATTTTAATTTCTTGTCGTACGATTTACGTGAAAATTTTATCAAAATCACGAAACTGGAATACAAAGATCGGAAATCCGGGTTGGCATTCATTGTCTTCTAATTTTTGTCAACGGAAAAGACAAGAAGAGGGAGAATTAGAAGAAGAAAAAAAGAAAAAAAAGAAACGAAAGAATGTATGCCTGAGTTGCATTTGTATGCGTGAGTATGTGTGTGTGTGTGTGTGTGAGAGAGAGAGAGAGAGAGAGAGAAATACATTCGCGTAAGGAGCACGTTAGTTCGCCGTTCGCGGAGGCGTGGAGGTAAATTTATTATCGAGAGAAGTACGGTCTCGGCGTGCTTTCCAGCCGTAATTCACATCGCACTTCCTCGTTTGCCGTCGACCCTTTAAAATGCATAATTTCCATCGAACGAGACGAGCTAAGAGATAGATAGTAATATGTACAACGTAAGTACTCCTCTCTTTGCGGTGATTTTTTTCCTCATCGACTTCTTCTTTCGTAGATCCTCTTTTTCTCGAGACACACGAACACACACACGCGTGCGTGCGTGCGTGCGTGCGCGCGCACATACATACATATATGCACGTACGCGTACACGTATGAACACAAATAAAAAAATTCACACATGACGAAGGTGAACTCACACGAGACGATTACGATGACGTAACGTTCGTTTAATGAATATATAGTTCGCTTGCATAGATAATATTCACGTACATACACACATGATTTCATATATGTATGCATGTATGTATGTATGTATGTATGTATATAAGTACGTATGTATGTATATAAGTACGTATGGATAGATATATGTATATTACGTGATTATCCACGACGGGTTATTCTTGTGATACGATGAAAGGAAAAGAGAGAGAGAGAGAGAGAGAGAGAGAGAGAGAAAGAAGATTGAAAAAAGGAAGGAGAAAGAGAAAAAGGAAAAAGAAATTAGAGAAAACGGGAGGAAAAGAAAAGGAGAGGAAAGGAGAGAAAAAAAGAGGGAAGGAAAAAAAGAAAAAGGAAAGAAAGGGAAAAAGTATCTTTTGAAAGGCGAGCAATCGGGTAGGGGTGGACGGCGGAGAGGTGGTGGTGTTGGGGGGGAGGAGGGACAGGGATGTCAGGAGAAGTGTGACGGAACGTGTATGGTGACGATCGTTCGCGTTTCGCGCTTCGTCGACCGGAGATCGACGCGAATCCTAACACGCACGAGGAAATTGCAAAAGGAGCAAAAGTGGGCTTGGATTGAAAGGGATGAGTAGGTATGCAAAGAGAGAGAGAGAGAAAGAGAGAGAGAGAGAGAAAGGAGAGAGATAGATAGATAGATAGATATTAATAAATTCTACGATAGAGACGAGAGAGAGAGAGAGAGAGAGAGAGAGAGAGAGAGGGAGAAGTCAGAAAAGCAAACAAATAAAAAAGATGAGAGAAAAAAAATTGGATCGAAAAAAACGAGAAAGAGAGAGAATGAGTGAGAGAGAGAGAGAAAGAGATAGGTAGACAGAGAGAGAGAGAGAGAGAGAGAGAGAGAGAGAGAGAGAGAGAGAGAGAGAGAGAGAGAGAGAGAGATAGAGATACCTGATGTTGCCCCACTAAAAATACAATCGGCCTATCGTTAACCGGATAAAAATATCTCCCTTATGTAAAACGCCTTTCAGAAATAAGTGCTTTAAAATAGACGAATATAAGCGGGATGTGTGGAAAGTGAGAAAGAAGAAGAAGAAGAAGAAGAAGAAGAAGAAGTAGAAAGACAGGAAAGCCGAAGAGGTATAGAGGGAGGGGGAAAGAAAGGGTGGTTGAAGTATGAGAAGAAGATGATGGTGGTCGTGATAGTGCTGATGATGCTGTTGTTGTTGGTAGTGGTATTTCGTTCGACGAAAGATTTCACGAAGTGTCGAAGGGATGAAGAGAATAAAACAACAAACAACAACAACATCAACAACAACAACAACAACAACAACAACAACAATAATAATAATAATAACAACAACAGCAACAGAAAGAGAAAGAAAAGAGAAAAGTAAAGGAAAAAAAAAAAGAAGGAAATATAGAAAAAGAAGAAGACGAGGGAAAAAAAAGAAGGAGCAAGTGAGTGGAGTGAGGGAGAAAAAAAAAGGAAGAGAGAGAGAGAAAGAGAGAGAGAGAGAGACAGAGACAAGTCCTATCATCGATAACGAGGAGATTCTGATTTACCTGACTTCTTCGAAGAGACGGCGTGAAAAAGATCACGATCGCGCGATCTCACGAGGCGTCCATCGTGTGTGTAGTAACATTGCGAGTTTCCTCTCTCTTGCTTCGGAGATCAACGGATCAACATCCGAGAAGAACGATCTGCCGCGTAAATGCACGAAGAGGGAACGAGTACGAACGAACACGGGCGAGCAAACTCGAACGAGTGAAAGAAAGAGATAGATAGTTAGATAGAGAGAGAGAGAGAGAGAGAGAGAGAGAGAGAGAGAGAGAAAGAAAAAGAGAGACAGAGAGAGAGAGAGAAAGATAAAGAGATATCCTTCGCACGCTTAATCACCGTAGATTCGATTTTAATTCATGACTCGTTCATGAGAGTAGCAATTCGAGAGAAAGAGAGAAAGAGAGAACGAGAGAGAGAGAGAGAGAAAGAGGGAGAGAGTATGCTAATTCGATCGAGCGACGCGAAGGAGATACGCGTTCTCCGTCGCCGGTCGAATCCGACTGACTTGAAGGAGCCTTCGAACGGCATATGCCCGTCTTCAGACTATTTTTGACTCGCGTGCCTTATCGATCTCTCTCTCTCTCTCTCTTTCTTTCTTTTTCCATCTCTTTCTCCTATTTGATTTGTATTCTCTTTCTCTTTCTCGTAACCACGTGGCAACGAATACCATTGAATACCAATGAATACCATTGCTCTTTACATTGATCTCTTACATACGTATTTACGTAAGTATTTACATTGTGTACATATGTGTATGATTTGTCAGAGATTGACAGTGAGAGAGAGAGAGAGATAGAGAGTGATTGAGAGAGAGATTGAGAGAGAGAGAGAGAGAGAGAGAGAGAGAGAAACGTGCTTACCGGCTCAGCGCGTCGCGGTGTCGTCCATGCACTTGTGTAGATGTCAAAGTCAAATCGCGTGGTGCCGCGAACGATAGATAGAGAGAGAGAGAGAGAGAGAGAGAGAGAGAGAGGGTAAGAAAGAGAGTGTAAAAGAGAATAAGAGAAAGAGAGAGAAAGAGAGAGAAAGAGAGAGTGAGAGAAAGAGAGAGTGAGAAAGAGAGTAAGAAAGAGAGTGAGAGTGAAAGAGAGAGAGAGAGAGAGAGAGAGAGAGAGAGAGAATCGGCCGAACGAATTTACGGGCGCAACACGACTCGATTTACGCGCGCTCCCTCCCACGCACGATTACGCCGAGCTTAATTTTAACCCCTTAACTTTTCTTACGGCCCGCCGGCGCATAATACCTACCAATACATATGTACATACATGTGTATATATATATATATATATATATATATATATATATATATATATATAGATACATACCAAACCCACTAAACTCGGCCTACTACTGCTCTCCGATAGGAGATTTTTTCTTTTCTTTTCATTCGTTCCTTCTTCTTTCGCTTTTGTTTTTGTTTTTGTTTTTTTTTTCTTTTTTAAATCATTTTCCCTCCAATTTTTCGCCTTTTTCTTTTTTTTTTCTTTTTTTCTTCTTTTCCTTTGTTCTATTTCCTTGTCCTCAGTTCTTTGCTTTTTCCCTTCTTCTCGTCTTGTTCCTTCCCCATTTTCTCTTTTCGGCCTCTTCTTCCTCTGTTTTTTCTTGTCCTATTCCATCCTGCCCTTTTAATATCTGCATCGATCGGATTTTACGTCGTATCGTAGATTTGAATAGGTTTGTTAGGGCCAATGGTCGTTCGGATATGACCTTGGATCCTTTGGATCCTTTTAATATAAAATGTCACATTGTATTCGCCTGTTGACTCGATGCATTCGATCGGAGAATATGCGTTTCGATGAAAATCGTGTTCTATATATATATATATATATATATATATATATATATATATATATATATATATATTATTTGGAATAAAGTTATTTGGATTAATTTCGTTTTTCCTTCATTTATAAGCTACGAGGAGAGATTTCTATCGATAAGGGTTGATGGTGTTAATGGAATGAATGAGGGCATTGGTGGAATGAGAATGGGGATGAGGAAAGAGGACAAAAAAAAATCGATTAAATTTTATCCTCCTTCCTATTTACAATTTCATTTTTAACTTCATAAACACGATTATAATCTAAATAATCGATATCACATTTATAAAACGAATTATAAATTTTCTTTAAAGAATATTTTCGTATACGTAACATGCATACGTACATGCATACATATACAGATTATATACGTAAAGAGAGAGAGAGAGAGGGAGAGAGAGAGAGAGAGAGAGAGAGAGAGAGAGAGAGAGAGAGAGAGAGAGGAAACACGGAGTAAATTACTTTTTGACTCGTGAGAACATTCGGTTTCATTATTGTTGCAGAACTATTTTTGATGCAGGCAGGCCCT